TAAATATCTTAAATTAATCACTGTAGTCTTAATAAGCTCGAAATTTAAGATGTTTAGCATACGCTACGGGACCGAAGATTACACAGTGAAGCAAGAGGGATGACTGTCTGCGGTCGTGGGCATGTAGATGCCCGCAGTACTTCTGCTCCTTCATTACAATCATTTTCCGTTTTTGCATACTTCAACACCTTCAATGTGGACTTGGTGTCCAATCGACGCTTCCTCCTTCTTTTAGCGGTAGCAAATACAGGAAATTCGCATGGAAGGCTTGTCGTTGGAAGACAGCAATCACTGTTTAAGGTTTTTCCACAGAAACGGATGAGGGAAATCTCGCACTCCTGAAAGTAAATTGCGCATTGAAACTGACATGCTACAACATTTGCAAGCATTTTGGCATCGCTTGTATAAATTTTTCCGAGATTAATCAAATTTCAACAGCTTCTTTCCGATATTGCTCTTAGCCGCCCATTCAATATCCACAACCTTTGATGGTCTTAGTCGTAGACCAAATGTGGCTACTATTGAGGCTTTTTCACTCCTACACCTCGTGCGCTTTGTGCTGTTAGAGAAAAAAGAATGTCATGCCCAATGTTCGTTTGACATGCAGGTACTAATAAATACGAATATACGAAGAGCAGCAGGATAAGTAGGTTCGGGCAATTGAGGGGCGTTAAACTTTAGTGGAACTCGCCACTTCTTCTTCATGACCGTTGCCTACTCGTACAGCCCTTCGCTTTTCTATTTGGGATTATCGCTTTATGTCTCTAGCGCCTTTCGCCCTTCGCCGAGCACCCACCTCCAACAAGAAGGGTTAGGAGCCGTTGGCGTTACCAATTAGTGGCGTCTATCAAGACAGTATTTCTTCGAGCCCTCACTGCACCTCACCAAGCCCGTTTTTAATTGAGACATGCCACTTATTAGTTCACCACACATAGATATTGTTCGTAGAAGGTACCCCGCGAAAAGGTACCCACACAACAGAGCTGACAATACCAGTGCTCTATGGTCAGTTTCAAGAGTTGAATTTGGTGCGCTAAGGATAATATGTGGAACTCCGACATCAATCTTGCGGACGCATCAACCTAATCATTGAGGGACTTTTGCATCCTTCGCCTGCTGCATAGCTATGTAAGCAGCACGCACTCTTGGGGTGCAGAAAGATAAAAGAAGTTACTATTATAGCACCCTTCTGTGCGTATAAAATTTTGTCGCTGCCTAACTAGAACATACAGCTTTTTCCTGAGCTCTTTGCCTAAATAGGCAAATAGGTGTATGCATCGCTTACTCGGGTATGATCACGCGGTGATTGTGATTCATGAAATATATTGAGGGAAAGCCACTGGCAAAGATCACCAATGTTGTCCATATGTCCGGTGGCTATCACAGCACCTGAAAGCACAGTACCACTATCATTTTTAGCCAAGAAATCGCTCATGGGCTTTGCCCTTAAAACTATGGAGACTCTCTTTGCACTCAGCTCAGCAGTGCAATGCAGGCACTCGAGACATCGTCAGCTTCTGTCTTTGATGCACGATTGCCCTCCTCGAAAAACGCATGTAAGAAGTCTCTCTTATCGTCCCGCTGGTCCCACACTGTGGCCCCTTTAGTAACTTCCCATTCGCACATGTCGCGAGCCGAGAATCCACTTAAATTTCGATCGTCTGGAGCGTGCGCCAACCGAACGCTGCTCTTATACTGATCGCCCCTACCCAAAGTTTGGTAATCCAAACAGTATGCCAAGCCAAAAAGAACAGCCAAATTGATTGGGAGGAACGGTGCCGAATAATAGCAGTGGTTGCTATACAATTCTTGATACATTTCAACTGCATACGTTTAATTGTGTATTCTAGATACCGTGGAGGGCCACGTTATGCTTGATGTAATTTATGTCCGGAGCTCTCATGGGCTTGTGACCCAAACTTTATTGTTCAAAGTTTTGGCGTTATCACCTCCTTCAGATGTTGAAATGAATAAGCTCAGTTCGAGGATATACATATGATCGAACGTATCCACAACTGTACCGGAGTCTGAGACTCCCACTCCCCATCCAGCGCTAGAGCAAACACGTAATCTATGTACTAAGTCACGGGGAGGGGCCCTCCTTGGATAACGTCGTGCCTTGGAGGGTCTGGAATTTCAGTAGTGCTGCGGAGACGTTTTATTGGATATCCACAATTTGATTTGATCCGTTTCAGACTCTGAAGAAGGCGATTCTGGCGAAATGTCAGCTAATGAAGTTTGAATAACCATCTCGCGAGAGTTCGAGCCACAAACTACATACACCAAGCTACAATCACGCCAAGGTTTATAGAAGCCCGTACGTGAAGGCTGCTATGTATGCAGTGCAAGTTCGTCTTATGATTAATACTTAGCGTCTGTCCTCTTAGATCTTGCTAAGACTGCGCATCTCATACGCAACACTGAAGGAGTAATTATCTATGTTTGGCTAGTGCTGGCCTATCTAGGAGTTCCACTGCATTCCCGTCCCATTTTCAAGATGAACTCAGGACGCCCTGCTGCGAATTCTGCAACAATTTGCAGTCAGTGCTGACGGGAGGGAGAGGTAGGTGTTAAGAAGCAACGAAACCAGGCGGAGATTATTCCGATCCATAATGACCCCTCTCCATTCATTCTCGAGCGTCTTAATGTAGTTAAATTGGTGTAATTCGCTGTAAGTCCGATACAGGCCGTTCAATGATGAAAACAGAAATAGCACAGCTCACCATCAGATTGTCCATGCATATGTGAATCGAATAATGTTAGCGATGATGTTGTCCTTTCAAAAACAATCAGAACTGTTCTCTCAAATGCAATGAGCAAGAAAAATAGACGAGGATCGCGACTCAACTGGTTACTGAACAAGATACTAACGGATAGTCATAGGTGACCTCGGAATTCACAGAAATTACTCTGAGACGAAATTACCGAGCCTGTGAAATGAAATTGTTTAGGCCCTACCTTTTAACCACTGCTCGAATGTAAAATGGCAACTCCAAGTTGAGTGGTCCCGGAACTGAGCAAAAATCAACTTCCTGAACACTGCTATATAATGAACAAACCTAAATTTCTCCTTCCAACTTAAACGAGGAAACCCTTTCTCGAAAGCATATATTGTGGCTTGGAAGTTTCCAAGTACTGATATGCAAATATGTGGCGAACAAAGAACTGTATTAAAAAATTGTAGAATGGGCCTATTTCAAGCTCAATTTCAAGTTCACGATAAAAATGGTTTCTGTGTTCTCCTCCTAGAAATACCCAGTGCCCTCCAAGGGTAAGTGGGCTATTTTTGCTGTCACAAGGGTTTTTTTTTGTTAATTTATGCTTATGAGTGAATGCATTTCTTCACACCGTGGTCAGCTATTCGCACTAGGATCCACACGTACGCAATGATGCACGTTATATAGCTCGTCAAAATGCCCCACTCTTCATTTTTCTGGTCTAATTCTCATCCGCCCCCTTTTCAACGATTTTTCAACGCCCTTTTTTCACTTAGGAAACACCGATTCACGCAGTCTCTTCGCCTTCATCGCACTATTTTCCATCTCGTCTTCCACTTTTCGTCATAATCTGGATTACTCAAAATTATCGTGAACTGTGCCTCTGAATGACGAAAACTGAAGATCACAATTTTCTGGGCCCTGAAAGTTCTGTTTTGGCAAGTCACTGATTTTTTGATGTAAGAGTCAATGGTCAGCCCAAGAAGATTCTTTTACCCATCAGGAGTGAATGAGGGAAT